GGCATACAAGCATATAAACAAACGTATTGAGAATTTAAAATAAAAAAGTGACAACGAGAATATCAGTGGAGATCAGCTTAGAACTGATATAAAAAGAGATAGATTTTGATTGCGTATTTGCCTGTATTAGAAATAGATTTTCCGAGAGAGGCACAGGAGAGAAGGAGAAAAGGCAAGAAGATTTAACAGTAAATGATAGAGAAATAGGATTACGAGAGCAAAGTGCTTTGACCAGCTGGATTGAATTTTAATTTCAATACTTGCCTTGACATTTTCATATCGAGTACTGATCCCATTAATTCCATCTCCAACCCATGAATCCGTATCCCTCAAACCGGCCTAACCCACTTGGACCTGCTCAACGCCTCATAATAAACTTTAAATACATTCAACTGCACCTCTTCGATGCAATCCCTGAACCTCCACTTGATCAGAATATTTCTCATTACGACCTCTAAACGAAACACCCTCATACGCGCACACACATGCTTGTAATTCATCTTATGTGCAAAAACTCAATGATGTATGTATCTGAGCGTCCCTGGATATGTGCCATGTCATGTCCCCTGCATCATATCAACATACCTATTCCCCTCCCTGTTATGTTGAAAACCGTACACATCCCTTCAACAGCCCCTGCGGCTGCGGCTGCGGCGGCCCGTGTGGCTGCGGTTGTAACTGTAGAGGATGTGGATGTGGGTGTGGAGGCTGCGGCTGTGGAGGTTGCGGCTGCGGAGGTTGCGGTTGTGGAGGTTGCGGTTGTGGAGGCTGCGGCTGTGGAGGCTGTGGATGTTGCTCGCCATGCTGCTGTGGTCATCACTGTGGTGGCGGCGGCAGCGGCGGCTACCAAGGCAACCACTCCTGTGGACAATGCGGCCAGTGTGGCGGTTGTGGACATCACCACCATCGATGCGAGTACTGTTGTTGCGATAGTTGCGACAGTTGTTGTGGCAGCGGCTATCAGGGCTCAGGCCACCAATGCGGCCATTGCGGTGGTCAAAATCACTACGGTGGCGGTGGATGCGGGGGTTGTGGCTGCGGTTGTTGTTAGGTCAAAGAAGAGAAGAAAGGCAGCAGGTGCGTTGGAATGTGCGGAAGAAAGTCAAGCTGTAAAAAACGAAGCAATTGAGGTGCGCCGAACATCTATGTGCAGTCCACTCCTCTGGGCATATCTGCATTGCTCTCATGGACTCATACTGCTTCACATTATCCCCTTACTTTCGCTTGCCTCTAAACGTTTGCTTTCTTTTCCTTAGCTCGCACTTTCCTCTTATACTTAGTCCTCTCGCCCTCTAGATTCATGGTACAAAAGAAAAGCTAACTTCCACTGATAAAATTTGTTTGCTCTTCTCTCTTGCACCGCCAGCGACAGTATCCGCTTTTCGGAAGACCTAAACATTTAGATTTACAGACTTAGACTGCACACCAACCAGTCTTCCAAGCCTATGCCAGACACTTTCTCCACAATTCTTACGATTTTTTTCAGCCTCTCACCACACCAACCTTAATTAGTACATCCTGAAACCTGAATGGCCATTTGTATCTAGCCGGCCAAACTTTGCCAATATGTATGAGCATGTATGATACTATCAATGAATGCTTGGTGTGTGTACCTCTCCTTTCCTCTAGTTTCTTTTATTCTATTCGTTTGATCAATCTTCATGTCCAAATAGCGAGCGAAATAGGAAAGTCCAGATGTGCAACTCTGAAGAGCAAATGACTCAAGCTGAACTGAGTATATTGAACTGGCTATGCTCGTAGGACTCATCCCCCCCCTTTTTACCAAAAGTTTCATCGTCCTGATTCAGCTCCATGTGTATTCCAATGATAAGAAAATTAGAATTTTCTCACGCTCCTCCGTAGCTTGCCTTAAATACTGTGTGATGAATGTTGTTAGTGCTGAAGC